AAGGATATTAGATTGGGTTGCCATGCCCTTCTCCAGAGGATCTTCCTGACCCAGGGATCAAACCTGATTCTGTTACATTTCTGGCAGATTCTTTACCATCTAAGCCACCAGGAAGCACCAACCTGGGAAGCGTATTAAAAAGCAGAGACATCACTTTGCTGAAAAGGTCTGTATAGTCAAAGCTATGGTTTTTCCAGTAGTCATGTTCAGATGGCTGTGAGAGCTGGACTATAAAGAAGGCTGAGCTCCAAAGAATTGATACTTTAGAACTGTGGTGTTGGAGAAGACTCTTGAGAGTCCCTTGGACAGCAAGGAGATCAAACCAGTCAATCCTAAAGGAAATCAACCCTGAATATTCACTGGAAGGACTGATGTTGAAATTGAAGCTCCATTATCTTGGCCACCTGATGCAAAGAGCCAACTCATTGGAAAAAACCCTGATGCTGGGAAAGATTGGTGGCAAAAGGAGGAGAGTGTGGCAAAGGAAGAGTTGACTAGAAAGCATCACTGACTCAATGGACATGGGTTTGAGCAAACTCCAGGAGATAGAGAAGGACAGGGAAGCCTGGCATGTCACAGTCCATGGGGGTGCAAAGAGTTGGACATGTCTTAGCTACTGAAAAACAACATTGTATAACTAAAATGATTTCTTTGTAAATGGAAGCTTAATGCTGTGGGCTAGGTCACTGCTAAATATAATTCAAGGCTGATATAATCCAAGCATCCTGCTTGGATTCTGCATTTTATTCAATGGCAGCATTCACTGATGGCTGTACCATTGGATGAACCATCTAAGCTGCTAAAACAAAGACTCAAAATGCAGTGAGAGTTAATTTTTTTCTTATGTTCAGAAGCAGGCGATACAGAGCTGGTATATTAACCCTGTTATGGTTAACATATACCTTCCATTTCTGTGTCCATGTTGGTTATTACAACTCTCCTCCAGACAGGGGAAGGGAAAAAGAGGAAATGGAAGGCATTTCCTTTCTAGTTAAGAATAAAACCTACAAGTTATATATATCACTCATGGCCCACATATCAATAGTGAGAACTTAGGCACAAAGCCACACATAGTTGCAATGGAGGTTAGAAATTGTCATTTGTAGTTGGAAGGTCTTGCGCCCATTGAAAATTTGGGTTGGGGGTTTGCTATCAGAAAAAAGAAGCAAATGGAATGGATTGATGGCTAGCTGTCTTTGCAACAATGGCTTACTTGGGATTGTTGGTTGGTTTTCTGCATATGGGGTTGGATTCTACTGGGGCCATCTGTGCTGGAAATGAAACTCCTTGAAAGGGTCAATAAAAGAGAGTGTATTACACTGATTTCCTGGTAAACGGATCAGGAAATAATAGAACTTCAGTGTCGAAAACAATCTCAATCACCACGTAGTCCAACCGCTCACCTGAGAAGCTCAACAGAAGCACCTCTCTTTTAGACATGTCCAATATTCCATGTAAAAACTAAGGACTTTATCCAAAGCCACAGAATTGTTGGTGACAGTCAAGACTAGAATCTAGAGAAACTGGCAAGTTTAATTTTCCTTCTACTGCCCCTGAAAGGACTTTTCTGACCTTGGTTTCTATCATGCCATGGGCAGAGAAGAGATATTTGTATTTATTATAAGCTGAAACAATCTATGTATTTTCAGAGAACTGTGACATGCTGTTGAATAATTGAGCTAGTATATTGAATTGTAATGCCTCCTTTCAGTTATTGAAACAGTGGAGTCTTGTTAGAGCACAGTTCGTGATTACACATCTTTGGATGACCATACAAGTTAGTGAAAAGGGTATTGAAGTGGAGTTCAATGACAGGACCTAGTCTTGGCTATCTACTGTCTATATGACTCTGATGAAATCATTTAATGTCTTTGGGATCTGACTTATTCTCAATATAGGACTACAATTGAACTAGATGGTACATTACTTGACCACTGGCATAACACAGGTTCTGACCAATCAGAACAAATACCAGTCATGAAAAACTCACTTAGGGAAACTGGTGCAATCTAGGAAAGCATCAGCCAGCTTTTAGTTCTATGAATTTTCTCTTGAAATGGAATGGTACACTGTAAAAGCTGCCACATTAACCTGCATCTTTAGTATTTATTTACACCATCCTTTGGTATTTATGTGATAGAAGAGTATATTGAAATTTCTGCCTAATGACTGGATGTTATTTTTAGGCCTCGAATTTAAAATAAAATTTTAAAAGTAACAAATTTCTGTTAAAATTGTTCTGGAAAAATGAGCAAGTATCATCTGATTAAAAGAGCTTCCCACGTCACCTGTAAAATAAAGTATAAAAGGATGTAGAGACTGGGTTCTAAAATGACAAGAAGTCCATTTGGCTATAAAAGGATAGAGTTTACTTCAGAAACCTGTTACATTTCATTATTTTTCTAAAGATTTCAGCTTCAAAGAGAGGACAATCGTGGGCCTTTAGGTAAGCCTGAAAATAATCTTTAGTAAGGTAGAGATAAACATCGCAATGAGAAGAGAATCCACTTAGGATAAATTACACAGAATAATTCTAAATTATGGCCTTGAAATTCCCACTTTACTTAAAGGAATGAGATAAGGCAAAACACTCCAGTTAATGGAACAGGAGCTACTAATTTCCTGAAAAAGACAAAAGGAGGGGAGTGTATCACCCTTACGTGGAACGAACAATTTTCCCCAGTCTCCAACAGATAATAAGACACTGTGTCCAGGAAGAAAGCGATAGGAGAGGCAACCTCAGATCAAAATAAAGACAAAGCAAAGCCAGACAAAGACTCTTCTCAATTCCAAAGGTGAGTTTACCTTCCTGGCTTTCAGCTCTAAGACCCCATGACCACAAGGTTGAGCCTGTTCACGGATCCTCGGTTTGCCTGTGTATATGTATGCACACATTCTAATCATTTGTAAATAGCGTTTTCTATAGGGTATTTTCGGGGAAGGCAATGGCAACCCCCTGCAGTACTCTTGCCTGGAAAATCCCATGGATGGAGGCTGGTAGGCTGCAGTCCACGGGGTCGCAGAGTCGGACTCGACTGAGCGACTTCACTTTCGCTTTTCACTTTCCTGCATTGGAGAAGGAAATGGCAGCCCACTCCAGTGTTCTTGCCTGGAGAATCCCAGGGACAGGGGAGCCCGATGGGCTGCCGTCTATGGGGTCGCACAGAGTTGGAGACGACTGAAGCGACTTAGCAGCAGCAGCAGCATAGGGTATTTTTCTCCTGACTCCTGAAAAAGCAGTGCCTCTCTTCCATGAACATGGAACTATCATCACCATCTCATCTCATCTTATTTACTCGTGGACTTTGGACAGAAGAAGAGCACTGGCTTTTCCAGAACTGAGAAGAAGCATTCTTCTATGATATGAAAGCATTAAAGATCAGATGATCTGCAGAGCTGGGGAAGGTGCTCAATTCCCAGAATCCCACAGATTAGGGTGGTTTTCCTGGGAGATGGGGCCCTGGTCGCCCCAGCTCACCTTCTGGCCTTCCTAGCAATCCTAGCACCACCCCTACCCCTTTTCCAAGGCTCTACCTGACCTGTGCGTCTGCGGCCTGTGGAAGAAGAGGAATGTTTGTATTGGGCAAGGAAAGAGAGATGAAGCTCTACCACGACCTCTGGCAGCACTTTATAGACCTCTCTTTTAGAACATCTATGAAAGAGTCTCTCAGTTCCTCCACTAATAGGCCTGATTTCCTGAGAATTTCCCCCTCTGGCCTGGATAAAGAAAACAGGAGAAAGAAGGGATTTTTGTTACTATGTTTCCAGGGTATCTGGCCTTGTGCATCTAGGCTTCCTGAACCTACCATCTCCTCTCCCCATATCGTTTGAATGCACGTGTAGATAAGTGGGGTCTTGTGTTTCCCTTGCAATGCTTTTGGGATGGAATGTACTCTCTCTCTCTGGTCCTCTTCCTCTCTCTCTCCCTCCCTCCCTCTTTCTTCCTTCTTCTCCTTCTGTGTTTTCTGCAGTTTTTTTTTTTTTTCCTTCTCACAGATTTTTCTTCGTATTTCTCTTGCAAGTGACACTGGGAAAAAGTCTTGATTGTCTTGTTGAGTTCCTTCCACATTTCGGAACAATCTTGGGAAGCTGTGTTTTAGTGGGACAACTCTGGGACTTAAGCTGTCTGCAAGGCCCTCTCTCCTCCTGTTGTTGTTTTTGTTCAGTTGCTAAGTTGTGTCTGACTCTTTGAAACCCCGTGGACTGCATCACAGCGGGCCTCCCTGTCCCTCACCATCTCCGAGTTCAACAAAGTTCATATCCGTTGAACTGGCGATGCCATCCAATCATCCCATTCTCTGTCGCCCTCTTCTCCTTTTGCCTTGAATCTTTCCCAGCATCAGGGTCTTTTCCAATGAGTCAGCTCTTTGCATCAGGTGGCCAAAGTATTGGAGCTTCAGCTTCAGCATCAGTCCTTTCCAATGAATATTCAGGGTTTATTTCCTTTAGGATTGACTGGTTTGATCTTGCTGTCCAAGGGACTCTCCAGAGTCTTCTCTAGCACCACAAATTGAAAGCATCAATTCTTCAGCATTCAACCTTCTTTATGATCCAACTCTCATAGCCATCTGTATATGACTCCTAGAAAGACCATAGCTTTGACTATAAGGATCTCCTCCAGAATGGACCTCAAATTCCACAATCAAGATGGCTTTGGGTCTTTTCTCCAGATTACTCTAAAACTGTGTGGTTTCTTAGTAGACTCAGTCCATATTGTTAGAAATGGGTTGATATCATTAGCCTGACATTTAGAAGGTGGTAGGATAACAGCTGGGCTTCTCTGGAGGTTCAGATGATAAAGAATCTGCCTGCCATGCAGGATACCCAGGTTCCCTCTTGATTGTACCTACTACATGTTAAGGGCAGGCTTTTTGCCCACTGGTCTGAGCATTTTGTCTAATTTAACTCTCATTACAAGTCTATGGACTAGCTATACTTTCAAGTGACTGGTGAAAAACTGTGACTTTTAGGGGTTAAATAACTCACTTAAGGATACCCACCTGGTAAGTTGCCCAGCAGGGAGGTGGACTCTGCTTCCCTGTGGCAGGCTGATTCCAGAACTTTCAGGCTGAAGCATCAGGTGCCCTGCCTCCTCCAGCAGCATATACAGGGCAAGCATTCCCTTTGGTATCTCAAAGCAGAGGGTCAAATGAGACAGCCATACCTTTCACATAGACACAAGAATTAAAATAGCTGTGCTCTGATCAAAGGGAAGAAGTTAGTGTTTCTTCAAGACCAGCTACTGAGTAGAGTAAGTGTTTGTGTGGTGAATTTATTTGCAGTGTGTATGTATGTCTGTGGTGTGTGTTTGCAAGTGTTGCATGTTCAGGTTTATTATGAGAACAGGTGTGTGCAAAGAATGGTGTGTGTAATTTGAATGTATATGCATTTGTCTATAGTATGTGTATACATTATGTGTTTGTGTAGTCTGCGTATGCACGTGCTGTGTATGCCTGTGAGGGGGTATGTGTATATGATGTGTGTGGTATATATGTGGGTATTTGCAGACATGGGAGTGTTTGTATACGTATGTGGTATCTCTTGGTGTGTATGTGTGTATGATATATTTGTATGTGGCATGTGTGTGTTGTGTGCATTGAGTGTGTGATGTATGTGTATGTGTGTGGTGGCATGCACACATTATAGCCGTGCATAGGTGAGAGAGGGGGGTGGTGTGTGGCACAACTACAGGTAGCCTTTTATCCTTTAGTTGTCCCAGGTTCACTGACATGCTATTCAAAACCACTGTCGCAATTAGTTCTATCTTGAAATAAGGTAAATAAGGTTGTATCCTAGAAATAACAGCTCCTTCTTTCTTGGCTCTTCCAAAGTCATGAAAGGTTTTGGGCAGAAACATCTAACCAGTTCATTCTAACAGGCCTCCTTGGCTGGGATCCTCCAGGGAGCTGGTCTATGTTGCAAAGAAGTTGAGGGAGGGAAGGCCACTTTAGAAATGTTAAAAAAAAATCATAGAGTTACTCACTGGTTTATAGATGTATTTCATTGCCAGTCAGAGACAGCATTAGATTTGTACTGGCAATAGCCCTTCTTCCAAGTGGACTAACACTGTGGGTTGATTTTGTTTGGCTCACACTGGGCCTTCAAAATTGGCCGGGGTCACATTTCTCAATCTGGAAATAAACTTGTCCACCCGCAAGAGGCATGACCAAGAATCCCTCACAGCCTCCTTAGAAGCTCCCTCATCTTAATATCTAAAAATAAAAATCAGACCTCTGGCAGTTAAAAACTCCACTTTCCATTTCTTAAGATCATTTTTTTATTAGGCTTCTGAAAAATAAACCTGTCATGGATCTGAGGTGCAGAGAGAGAGAGCGTGAACGCAAACACCATTTGCTGAACGCGCCTGCTGCTTGTCCCTACATGCACTCTAGTCAAAGAGTTGGCCTCAAACGCAATTTTGAAACTTAAACAACAAACCTTTTCTCAGAATTCTCTGGCAGAGAAGCTGAGGTAGCTCCAGTGAGCAGTGCACCAAACCCTAATTACTCCCTCAGGAGCCGGTCATCAGGCGAAAACCTGCAGAACGTTCCATCTCCTGCACCAAGCAGATGTGAACATATTTCTCCTTTTGTTGTTTCCTGCCATTTGGAGAGGTTGCTGTTTGTCACACGCTAAGCAGAGGAGCAGAGGACAGCAAAGTGCATTTCAGTTACTTGGACAGACTCTGTAAACAACCAAAAGATGTGGCTGTTTTGAAAGGCTTTCTTCTTCGATGTCGCTGCATCGTGAGGTTGCCTGACCCTCTCATGACTTGGTGCCGCTCATCTGTGGTTGTTCAAAAGGGCTTCAGGGGCCATATCAGGTGTATGGGAGCTGAACGGTCAGGGCTGGACGTCTACCCCTTCAAACTTCCAGTGTTTTCAGCTTCACTGAAAATACACTTTATTATGCTAGGATTTTATATAGCATTTAATTCAAGGAAAAAGGTAGATAAACCACCTTCACTATAACCATCAACGTTTATAGTGAGCATTGCACAGTGAGTAAGACTCCGTGAATATCGCATGCTGACTTGGGGATTGCCTCAAATGTAAGAAGGACCAGTGGTCAACTCGTAAAATATTATTAACAGTCACCCAAGCCCTGACCCAGAATCATCAGCCATTGATCTACAGGAGAAATCTCTGATTCAAAATCTCTTTACTGCCTCAATTCTTCCCTATCAGAAAACATGAGTAACTCACGATGAACTGGATAGATATGCAAGAGGTAGACAATGAGAAATCTTATAAGGCAGGTTAAAAGGATGAACTTAATCTTCAAAGTTATAAAGTTCCAGAGATGCAGCTCAACCGGTTTGAGTTTTAGGAAGATCATTGTGACTGATGGGTGGGAAATTAATTGAAGAGCAGCAGGAATGGAGATGGAGAGACCAAATATAATACCAGTGCTTTTTTCTTTTCTCTGCATTTTTAATTAAAAATAAAAAAGATTATCACTATGATGGATGGCAAGGGTACATTAGAATAGTGCCAGGAGAGCGCTTGTGAAAGAAAGTTATTTATTCATTCAGTGATTCAATTTATTTATTCAACACATATTTGATGCCTACTATATGTCTGGCAGGGAGAAGGCAATGGCACCCCACTCCAGTACTCTTGCCTGGAAAGTCCCATGGACAGAGGAGCCTGGTAGGCTGCAGTCCATGGGGCCGCTGAGTTGGAAATGACTGAGCAACTTCACTTTCACTTTTCACTTTCATGCACTGGAGAAGGAAATGGCAACCCACTCCAGTGTTCTTGCCTGGAGAATCCCAGGGACGGGGGAGCCTGATGGGCTCCTATCTATGGGGTCGCACAGAGTCGGACACAACTGAAGCGACTCAGCAGCAGCAGCAGCATATGTCTGGCATTTTTCTAAGCATTAGGATAAAAAGCTATTGACCTCAGGGAGTTTGTGGTCTAGATTGGAGGAGACAGAGAATAAACAAATAAGTTAAATGTATATTATGTTAGATGGTAGTATTGACTAAAAAGAAAGGTGAGATGGGGCATGCAAAGAGTGGGGAGGTTGGAATTCTTTAAAAGGTTATGATGGCCATTAAAAGCTCAGGAAGGTAAAATTTCAGCAAAGATCCAGTAGAGGTGAGGTGTAAAGAGGTGATTTTTGTGATTATACACAAAAGGCCATTCCAGGCAGTGGGAACCACAGGATCATAGACCGCAAGAGAATGTCACACTGCAATGTTCAAGGAAGAGCAAAGAGGCCAGTAAGGCTGTTAACTGCAGAACCAAGGGGGAAAGGAGTAGGAGATGAGCTTGAGCATCCTAGGAGAGGATGGGAATGGGGCGCACAACAAAGGAAGCATTTTGGCTTTACTCCGAGTGAGCTGGATGTTTTTCTTTTTTTTTGCCACACCACATGGCATGTGGAACTTCCCTGCCCTGGAATCCAACCCATTACCCCTGAATTTGGAGGGTGGAGTCTGAATCACTGGACCACCAGGGATGTCCCTGAATGAGCTTATTGGAGGGTTTTGGAAGTTGGAAGTTGTTGGAGGGTTTTAAATGGAGGGAGAGACATGATCTAACTTATGATTTCACAGGGTCTTTCTAGCTGCTGTGCTGAGTATAGATTTTGGAGGGCAAGAGTAAGTCGGGGAGATCCTTTAGGAGGCAATGATAGTTCACTTGGTAAAGAACCCACCTGCAATGCAGAAGACCCCAGTTCAATTCCTGGGTTGGGAAGATCCGCTAGAGAAGGGATAGGCTACCCACTCCAGTATTCTGGGGCTTCCCTGTGGCCCAACTGGTGAAGAATCCACCTGCAATGCAGGAGACCTGAGTTCGATCCCTGGGTTGGGAAAATCTCCTGGAGAAGGGAAAGACTACCCACTCCAGTATTCTGGCCTGGAGAATTCCATAGTCCATGGGGTTGCAGAGAGTCGGATATGACTGAGTGACTTTCATTTTCACTTTTCACTGCCATGATACAGTGAAGACATGGTGGTGTGTTGGATCAGAGAAAATGAGAAACCCAAGTAGGATTCTGGATGTATGTTAAAGGGAGAGTTGCCAGCATGCACTCCAGGATTGGATTTAGGGTATGAGAGGAAAGAGAAGTCAGAAAAGAAAGAACAGAGTTGTCATTAACTGAGACAGGGTAGATGCAGGGTGGATGGGGTGATATTTCTGTATAAGAAATACAGTTGGAGACATGCTAAGTTTTAGATGCCTAAAAGAAGGCATTGGGTTACCTGACGAGTATACCAAAGGGGTCTGAGCTGGACTTAGAAATTTGTGAAATCTCTGCACATAGGTGATTTTTTAAGCCACAAACTAGCAGCGGTCACTAGGGAGAGGATGCAGCTTAGAGAAGAGGTGACAGTGAACCTAAGGAATGATCTTCTGTAACTTACACCTAAATCCTTTGATACCTCCCAGAAATCCTTTATCAGGAGTTTCATAAGATTATTTCTTCATGTTTTCATCTTCCTGTAATTAATTCTTGTTCCAACACAGCAGTTTTATTTTCTACTGATTCAAAATATAAATTAATATTATTTTCTACATATTTGGTTTAATAGAATTCACAGGTAACCTAGGAACCTAATTCATGCTTTTCAGCAATGTTTCTATGGGAACATATATTCTGAACTTCAAATAAGTGTCTTTCAAATTACCTCTGGAATTTATCCAGTTTTAATCTGGAAATTGCCTGTCATTCCAATGCAGAGAAGAATATACATTTTTATCAGGTTTTATATATTTCCATCTGATCAAATGTCCTTTATATTCATCAATAATACTTATAATACAAACAAAATATTTCTTTGAATTTTAATATTATAATTGCTATTAATAGTTTTGTTATCAAGTTTTTTCATTTTATTTTCCTTTTTTATTACCCTTTGTCTGATGTCCATTAAGTACTTTCTACTTTTACCAATAGAATAATTTCTATTTTAAGTGATGACTACTAATTATAACATGTAATGGAAATATATCCACTTCCTTCCCTTATATGCCTCAAGTTAATGCCAGATCAGACTTGATTGGTGCAATCTCAGAGGTGATGACTGCATTTCCTCTCCTGTCATTGGTTCCGGACTGCAATGACTGTGAGGAATAGGAAAAGGATGATCAGCCATTGAGGTGGTGGAAATTCAATGAAGCAGCAATAGAGTCTGTTTCTTATTCTCTGTTCAATCTTCTGGAACCCCAAAGACACCGCATCATTTCCTGTGGCTGAGCCTTTTTACACAAGGACTAGATTGAATCGTTCCCTAGTTTCTGTAGGGAAACCATTTTGTTTCTACAGCTTTTCTTCATGCTGCGTTTCAGGGATTCCTTTTCTGATTGCTCTTGTGACATTTTGCATGGAATGGCCAAACTAATCAAGAGGATCTCACAGATCAGCTTTTTCTTGTTAATCAGAAGCATATTTTACCCTTATACTATTAAAATTAATCTCTTTGAAAAACACTATGTTTCAGTATTTATGCGGCATGTCTCCAAATCACACCCTTTCAGTTACACCATTAACTGAGTTAATCTTTGGATAGGGGGAAATGTCATCAATTTCACCAGAGGATTTCACAATCTCTTTCATTTGTTTCAGTCCAACAGTTTTCCTCCTGACTGGGGTAAATGATCACTAGGTCCTGCAGTAAAATTCTTTGGCTTTATTGAACTGGAAAGCTTTGATTTCTATTTGCACTTCTAGTTCACGTTTCTGTTTTTGTTTTTTTTGCCATTACTCTTTTATATCTTCTGAAGTAATTGGAAAATATTGTACGAAGGTATTATTCTTTTGTAAGAGAAAAAGAACATGACAAAGCATTTGGAGATCTGGAATGTAGCCCCATAGGTCAATGAACAAATACCCTCTTTACGTTTCAGTTTAACAGGGGTTTGCTTTGCCTTCTCTACTCCCATTGCGTTGTAGGTTATGCGAGATGATTCAGTCTCAGATTTGGAGAAGCCTTAAGGGGGACTTTATTGTAATTTCTACAGTAAGATCCCCTTTCGTATATCTTTCATTAGTGGTTGTCTGCTTTTGCCTGAACATCTTCAAACGTGAAAATTTCCATTCAGTTAATGG